TGACACTATTTTTTCATGTCACTCATCACCTAAAGGGGCAACATCTCCATATATTTATATAAAAACCAAAAAAAAAAATATTTACTAAATTAGTACATATCTATATTATAACCAATTTTCATTTATTGGGATATGAATTAGAAAATGATCAAAAATTATAAAAAATACTCTTTTGCTTTTTTGGGCAAGATGTTTACAACATGAAATTTAGAACAGTAACTAAGTGTTAAAATTCAACAAAGTGTGCAAGCCAAAACACAGTGCTTGTACATCTTTGGAGTTTTTAATTACCTCAAATATATTTAAAAGGACATACGGTACTAGAATCTATTTGGTTTCAATATAAACCAAGGATGGGAAGGTGAGAAAATAGGAATTTTCTGAGGTGTTTTTAACACAGACAATGACAGCCGACATTTTCAAAGGCAAATTGCGGTGACAAAACCAAAAGTTATTCACTTCTCTACTCAAAGCACTGAAAAACACCATAAAGAGAAAAACATTTTAAACATACATCAGGTAAGCCTTTTAGCTCAATTTTCTCATGTTTCTGTTTGGAAAGAAACGGTTTTTAGCCAAAATTATTTTGCACGCCAATGTAGGCTGCTATAAAATGTCAGACACGCGTTCTCTTTTGAAGTCTGGCTCTGAAAAACAATCGCTTTTTTTTAGTTTGAAATAAGCTTTCATTAGGACTAATTGTGTAGAAATGTTATCTGTATGCTCAAATGAAAAAGATAACCTAATAGTTCAGGTATTCAACATAGCTATAAAAGGGTGAAATAAGGACTTTCATCTTTGGTTGTTTGTCAGACATGAGAAACCACATTAGTGCCATTTTGTCGCGCGTGCTATTTTATAAAATAAACACCTCAAAACCATAAACTTTTAGTTCAGAAAACTACAGACATTATTAAAAATGTTCTAGTGAAACGATTTCATGATAAATAAGCGAGCAATGGGCTCGAAAGGACGGCTAAATTATGTTTTTGTTGGGACTTCAGTTTCATGGCTTCCCGCAAAGGAAGCCATTTCAGAGAGAAGCGACAACAACGGCAAACAACCGTCGCGACCAAATTTTGATAACTTTTCCTTCTGATTCAACATGTAGTTACTAGAAAATGAGGTTGGATCAACATTACTATCTGCCTTATCGATTTAAAGTTTTATGGGGATATAAAACCCAATACAAAAAGCATTTTAAAAGCATTAGAACTCAAGTGCGGACTTTTTGAGAATTCGCACGCGGCAAGCAAGCGCATTAATTCAATACACTTATTTCAAACCACAATATGTCTGAAACGAGTTGTCATTTTAAGACTAAATTGATGAAAATAGATATAACAGTGATTTTGGAGTACCCTACTTACTTAGTGTAATTTAATACTCGAAGTATTCTTGCCAAATAGGGCACGTACGCACACAGTAATTTAATCTGGTGTCGTTTGAAACATACTTTAGCTAAAATAACAACTTGAACAAGAAGACCAACAATGGGGTTACGAAAACAGTCGAAATTGTGCCCAAATTTGCATAAACAGTTCGTCTAAAAAGATAACTTTAAACTAGATTCAACCAACATTAATGCAGTCGAATTTTGTGAGTGTTTGATCGCATATTTCTACTCAAAAATACCCTTTAAAAAATCGTATCTGCTCACTTGTGTTCCGTGTTCATCTTTCTTGTGATTTCCGACTTCTATTTTTAATAAAGTTTGGAGAAATCCTCATCTTTTTGGCTGAAAATCTCGCGCATGGTTCACAGAAAAACTTGGCCCCAAAACGTCAATACATTCGCTTTCCTTTCATGCCAAATTTTCGTTGTAGTTGATTCAGAAACCTCTTCTTTTCTTGCTTTTAAAACTTGCTGTAAAATCTTTCTTTGTAACAGAATCGCCATTATTCATTATTTTTGGAAAACTAAGATTTTAAACTTGAAAAACTTTGCGAGTTTCTGACCGATTTTCTTGCATGATACACCGTTGAAAAGCTCGAATTTCACGTTCTATTTTCGTATCCGTTGCTAGGCAACCCAATAAACACGTGCTCAAATATCATGCCCGCAAGTTAAGGTGTCATGCCAGGGCGCATTCGGGCGCATTGTCTGTTACCCACTTGTCAATCTCAGGGCGCATACGGGCGCATTGGGCGTTAATGAGTTAATGGCCCTGCCAGAGCAAACGACGTAATCACAAACATGATATTTCAGTTTTCGTGAAGTCCAGTGCACAATACTAACTTATAGACAATAATATGTTATCCACCGATGTTCTGTTTATTAAGGTTGTGACACTACTAGTGCTTTCTATGGAAAAGGAAAAACAAAGACATTGAACACATTAGAGAAATATCCAGAGTTCTTATTAGCTTTCAAATCACTTGGAGCAGCATACACGGTCGCCAACAAGTTGTTTAAGAATATCCAAAAATATGTCTGTGTTCTGTATGGTCAGTTTTCAACAGTTGATGTCAATCTTGCACGTTTTAACCTTTTCAGTATTGGTCAATATTCGGAGAGTACAATGCCATGTACAAAAGATGTGTTATTAATTCACACAAAACGTGCGTCATATCAAGCATACTTATGGAGAAATGCACTCCAAGCAACGCTATCACCCCCTCCGATTAGTGAGTTTGGTTGGGAGATCAACAATGGAAATGTTCGAGTGAAGTGGATGACTATGCCAGCAGCTCCAGATGGAATTCTCGAGAATGTTAACTGTGGATGCAAATCAGGCTGTTCAACAAGGAGATGATGCACATGTGCGAAGGCAGAATTGAAGTGCACTGGTCTGTGTGCCTGCCATGATTGTTTGAACATCGAAGGCGATGGAAACGAGATAGATGACGATGATGATGATTTCGATGATGACATTTTCAAACAGCAGTGATGTTTTGATAAAGAGTAAAGTGCTTGGAGTCGGGTAATGACCTGTCGTAATAACTCGAATGAGTTGCGGTCCAGTGTAGGTCGAGGTTGTAGGAATAACATGGTGTAAGTATAAAGTTTCTTCCAACCTGAAAGAAAGATACAAAACTTCTCCGTGTTCAGGTTGAGAGAAACAGATTTACTCACATCGGTTAATCATCTGTTCCGATTTGCGACTCCATGTTGTTAAATAACATACTTACCCTGATTGTTTGAAGATCAAAGGCGATGGAAAACAGATGGTGGTGATGATGATGTTGAATGAAGATGATGATGATGGACAACTTTTGGAGTCAGAGTATGGAGTCAGATAGCAGTGATGTTTTGATAAAGAGCCAATTACTCAGCCTGAGTCAGGTAATCTGTTGCTTTTGTTTCGATTTTCGTCTTAATGCTGTTGGATAACATATTTTAAATTTACTTGAGTGCGAATCGACAGTATTGTGGAAAGGCTGTTAATGCTAATTAGATACTGTAATACGGAAATCCCCTTTCTCTTGGTATGCGCGTGTCATTTGTGTAAGTTATTACAAACGAACACCACGCAATGCTGTTGTGTAACATAACCTCCTATGTCCTACTAAGCTGTTTCCTTCTTTGTTTTTTTTTTATAAACTGAGCATAACGATTGCCCAAATTGCATTGGCGAAGAGGCATTCGTGATAAAGACGACATTCTGTGTGGACAGAGTGATGAGCATGATTAAAAACGTAACACGAGTATTTGAAGACGAAATTGTTGATACAAAAACAGAGTCGTAATGGAGTTCCAGTCAGCGTAGAGTTAACCTCCAATCTTCCTTACTAATGGATTAGATTTCAGAGTCAGAAAGCAGTGATGTTTTGATGAAGAACCAATTACTCAGTTTGAGTCAGGTAATCTGTTGCTCTTGTTCCGATTTTCATCTTACAGGTAAACTATGTGAAGCGTTCCTCTTTTGACTTCGTAACTCATTTGGAATTTTCCTCATTAGCTTTGCAAATTTGAAAAACTCTTTGCAAATCCCTTGAGGGAATTTGCAACGTTCCTATCGGCTGTTGCAATATTCCAAACTTCATTTTAAATTTTCCTAACTTCCTGTTTTAATTTCCTAACTTTCTGTTCTGTGCGTTGTTATTGGTCGATTATTTTTGTTAGCCAATTGCAACACCCAGAACAGAACAGGAAGTTAGGAACTTGTAACAGGAAGTTAAGAACTTCTAACAGGAAATGAGGAAAATTTTATTGGCTTTTAGCAACATTGCAAATTTCCTCAAGGGATTTGTAAGGGAGTTTTTTAAATTGCAAAAGTAATGAGGAAAATTGCAATCAATTTAGAAACTCAAAAGAGAAACGCTTCATGTAGTTTACCTGTAATACTGTTGGATAACATATTTGAAATTTACTTGAGAGTGAAGCGACAGTGTGTTGCAGAAAGGCTGTTAATGCTAATGAGATAATACTTAAACCCCCTTTCTCTTGGTATGCGCGCGTCGTATGTGTAAGTTTATTACAATTAGATTGCGAACGCCACACAATGCTGTTGTGTAACATAACCTCCTATATCCTACTAAGCTGTTTCCTTCTTCTTTGTTTTTATTTTATCAACCGAGCATGATGATTGCCCAAATTGGATTGGCGAAAAGGCGTTCGTGATAAAGACGACTTTCTGGGTGGACAGAGTGACAAACAGTTGGCATGATTAACAACGTAACACAAGTGTTTGAAGACGAAATTGGTTGATTCAAAAACAGATTCGTAATGAAGTTCCAGTCAGCATGGTGTTAACCTCCGTTCTTTCTTACTAATGGGATTAGAGGCAAAGAAAATAATAAACAAGGAACTTGGAATAAAATCCACAGGAAAAGATTTATAAAATAAATAAGATTGTGAACACCGAGTAATGTGTATTTATTGTATATCGTAATTTCTCTATTTAGCACCCTTCCCCCCTCTCCCCCCCTGTATTTGAAATATAATTATGATATTTTACTTATATTTACAGCGCCCGATGTTGCATATTTAAAGAGAATTAAACATGCAAACAGTACCTTTGTATATATTAGCAACCCCCCCTTCCCCAAAAAATAAATTAATAGAGAAATAAAGGTATGTGTGTTCTCGAATATTTCGGATTGGGATAATATTTAAAGCCTGAAATCATTTGCTTGCAAACGTCATGCAATGCTGTAGTATAAAATAATATCATATTAAAAAAAAAAAGTTATTATTGTAATGTTGGCTTGGAAGTATTCATGGCGAGGGCTCGACCCGGTACATTGCTCAGAATGTTTGGCGAACTCCATTAAAATGCACAGAACATAAAAATATCATATATTTTTAAAACAATACGATGTCATCTTGTTTTACTTCAACCCTGTTTTCGCACATTTCATATTTTTTTTCTTGTCCAGTATTGGATAGAGATCAGTTTTTCCTTTCTGCGCGTGCGCATTACGTGTTTTGTGGTCAAGCGCATGCGCAGTTGCAACACAACAATGGCGGTTCATGAATTTCGAAATCCAACCAAGCGCGAACTTTGGAGAGGTCGTACTACAATTTGTGCAACTATTTCGCTTGGGGGGGAAGTGGATTCTTACTAAGTAAGTTCTAATCTATCCATTCATGTAAAAATTATGTAGTTACACGAGGGGTGCTACGGAATTGAACATTTTTGACCCTCATCCAACGGCCTAATGGACACTTTATAATTACGCTCTTCAGCTAAAAAGATCAACTATATGTGGATTTGGTATAAACAAAAAAATGTTGAACAAACACTTCTTCCAGATGCAAATCAAATATAAAGGGCTGATATGGCAGCTCCTTAATCCTTAGTTACCATGGTTTCTTAACATAATGAAGAATCATAGACATTGAAACATTTCTGAAAGAGGTACATGTATTTGGTTACACATGCATAAACAAAACAAGAACTTAGTTTGCTCTTTGATAATCTGCTTTCCAAAATAACAATACTTTGGTGAAGGATTTAGCGATTGACCTTGTTTATAAAATGGCTTTATTGGAAACTTGAACTTGCAAGAAAATGAAAAATGTTTGTGACCAGTTTTAAAACTTGGATCAACATTATCAAGGAGGATATTCTACTGTATTTTAGATACAAATATACATTAAACTGGTGATATATTATTGTAAATGGTTTTGTGGAATCACAATATATAAGCAAAACTACCATATAAATATGGACTTCAGGAATTGTTATAGTTCTCTGTTTCAAACACTCACTTGTTATTTTATTTTCAAATATTTTTCTAATGCAACTACGCAAATTTTAGAGATAACTGGAAATATGGAGAGGACTTGCTCTTTTTCAACATCAGATAGTTCGGCATATTATTAATTGATTGTACAGTAATTTATCTTTCTTGAAAAAATATAATATATAAATAAGAGAGAAACTCACAACTCTGTGATACTCAGTTTGTCTCCATGTGTGAAGTCGTTTAACCTCTGACCTTTTTGTGTTACTTTTGGTTACAAGTGCTTTTGAAGATGAAATTGAACTGCTTATACTTTTTTTGAATACCCGGTAGTTCTAATTGTTATTGCTATGTCACAATCTAAAAAACGTAAGCCAGGGGGAACAAGAGTTCATTGCTCTGCTTGCAATTGTTCTAATAGCAACGGATTGCACCCAATCCTGTGTTGTTTTTTTTTCAGTTTCCATCAGACCCAAAGAGGTAAGACTAATGTTGTATTCCAATGTGTTTTTTAATTCAAATGAATTTAGTTAAACATTGTATTTTAAACATATACACAGTTGTTTTCAACATATAAACAGTTTATAAAAAATTCTTGTAGACCCAAAGAGTGGGTTGTCGCATGTCGATGTCACAGTATAGGCACAGTATAGGAAAACTACAGTAGGACCACTCAGCATAAAAAAGTGCCCACATCATTTACTGGCTGCCAACGTAATTAACATATTGGCAGCCAGTAAACGGCAGCAGTTCACTATAAAATTGTATTACAGAGTAATGATTTTGGCCGCGTAAGACACTTGGGACCTAGCTTAAATAATTCCCACTTTTCTCTCCCCTAAGTGGCCGTAACTGGTTGTCTCCCTATACTGTGGTATAGGGAAACAACACTAGGGCCACTTAGTCCTAGGTGTTTTGCATGGCCAAAACCATTTATTCTGTAATACAATTTTATAGTGAACTGCTGCTGTTTACTGGCTGCCAATATGTTAATTACGTTGGCAGTCAGTAAATGATGTGGACACTTTAAAAGATTGTATGTTTGTCAATCCGACTATTAAAAATTGTTTGAATGTCATTATGATAAGCCATCATCTCCAGTATGGTACAACAAAATGCTGTGGCATATGTAGCTGGATATCTACTTAATTTAAGAAATGTTTCCATGTCTGTGACTGTTCGTCATGTAAAGAAACCATGACATCCAGGGATCTTGAATCTGATTCATTGTTGTACTGTCATTTCATGAACTACAGAAATGATAATAGCTCTTCAGCAGTTCAGGCCTGATACTGCCAACACAACCCTTCTTTGACTTTGCTCTGCACCTGGAAGACATGCTTGTCCAACAATTTTCTGTCTATACCACATCCACATTTATAGTTAGTGCTCATTTGCTGAAAAGCCTACAAAGTGTGCCTGTTGCGTTCAAGTTCTGCCAAGAATTTCCAAAAGATTATATATTAAAGTTATTCTTCAGGATGAGAATTTACTTTCAAATGTTCAGAAAACTGGCATCTCCATCTAAGAGAAAGGGCAAAAAGTACATTAAAGTTGCACACTTGTAAAACATATACAGAACACTTGTAAAACATATACAGAACTGGTTATGGTTTATGGAAAACAGGAATGCTTTCATATTAAAACGTATAACATGTATCTGAGGGCATACTAGTAAATATTTGACATGCAAACTAAAACAATATGTCAATATGCGTAGTTCATGAAACACATTTTAGAGCCATAAAAATGTATTGTCCAGCAACCAGTTTCCCATTTCAATAATTTAAGCCAAGAAGGAAACAACAGAGAATAATTTTGAAACAGAACTGTGAATACTTTGGGTATATATTTTATCATCGAATCATGTTAATATATAAATTCTCTGCACTCTTCGGAGCCCATCTGGCCGAATAATAGAAATAAGTATTTAAAGTCCCTTTCTATAATTCTGGTCAATTTTTGCCATTCAAATGCCCGAGAGCAGAAAAAATTATGCACCTATCAATGTTAAGCCCTAGG